CCCAGGCTGGAAATGCTGGGGGGGCCAGACTGGGCCGCGCCTCCCCCCCCCACACCCCCCTTACCTGCTTCAGGCTTCCCGCAAATCAAATGTTCGCGGGAAGCAGGGGAGGGGGCGGAGTTGGGGCGGGGTGTGGGCGGGGCTGGGGGCGGGGCCCCGTGGAGTGTCCTCCTTTTGGAGGCTCAAAATATGGTAACCCTATAGCAGAGCCACCTGGTGACAAACCCAGTTGGAAAAGTGGTTGGCAAAGTCACCATTTATGCATTCTTTGGATACATTTCCCAGGGCTCCAGTGTGACGCACGCTCCCGCCCTGCCACATCCAGAGGGCCAGGGATGAGGCAGGCTTCAGGCTTATGCATTAGCATCCCATCCCACACTGGACTCTGCTCAGGCCAGCAGCCCCCTCGGGGCTCCCTACTGTCACACAGCTGTTTCCTTTTACTCCCCACAAAGTAAGGGGGTATACTCTGGTTGCGAAACATTTAAGAGTGGATGAGGGTTTCTAATCTGGGAATGAGAAGCAGGAGTGGAGGAAAATGGCCATGAGAATATTTAGATTGCAAACTCTTTGAGACAGGCACCTGCCTTCTTATATGGTTGTAAATCACCATGCAAATCTATGGCACTGAATCACTAGAGATAATTAGAGAAGGGGAAATAGAAAGACTCACAGTATACAAATCCGGGCTCAGGAAAGCTGATTCCGTTCTGCAGGCGATGTTTTCTCGCTCTTTCCAAGAAGTGCCAGCAGCTCTTTAAATCCAGGACAACTCCAGGAGGCTGATGAACATTACAAAGAGGGAAGCATGCAGCAAGCTCTAAATGCTGTGGAAAGCCGGGCTCCTGGGTGGGATCTGGGCTTTCTTTTATGAGTTCCTCCTTTAATTTCAGGTTCGTAATCTGGTGCGTCTGTTCTTAGGTGCTCAGAGAAGGGAACGGAAAGCCCAGTTGCTCCTGGCGCGATTGTCTTCACACAGGGCAGGGTATGTGTGTTCCCGTTCAGCTGGGGTTGCAGAGAGAGCTTTGCAGGAAACAGAGATGGGCTCAGCCAAAGGAAGACCTAGTTTTTGCTGGCTGCAAGCTGGGGGTGGGTGTTTGGAGGTGGGGGGCTGATTTCTTTCCAAAGATAAAGGTTGAGATTTTTTGATGGCGACTGGGGGTTTCCCATCGAAAGGAATGGGAGATCTGCGGCCTCTGTCCGGAAATTCAGCCAAAAGCTTTTGGCAAAACTCAATGCTCAGCAACCGGACATATCAAACAACCCCACACTTCCAGGGGCAGCTGTTGGGTTTGTGTCACCCACAGACCAGGCTGGCTTTGCTCAAGATTGTCCCGGAGAACAGATGATACAGTAGCAGGACCCCAGCCTGGATTTTGGTTTGGTCCTGGTTCAAGGCGAAATGTGCCTGGCTTAGGGTTTCCTTACAGCTGCACTAGATTTCTCTATGTTATATTTGGCCATAGGCACAACCTCTGGGAAGGGAGATGGAAGGGGCTGGTTCCTCTATCAGTTAGCGGTTCATGTGTCCCCTCCCCCCGTCAGTGCTGCACTTTATTATGTGGCTGCACTTCAGGATTAAACTAGATCCTTTCTTTGGGCAACTGGAACAGGCTTAGCATTTTGCTTTCTTCTCTTCCCCCACTCCAGGCTCCGCTGGTATTTCAATCACTTGCTTCTGCGCTGTTCTATTAGCAGTGGATTCAACAATGGAGCACACCGATGTCTGGAAATGAGACGTCGCTTACCACTCAGAAATGCAGAAGGAGCGGGGTCTGTGGGAAAAGGTGTCTGGACGGTTTGCTCCAGGCAGAGGCGCTGCTCTGCATTTTGAGAGGGGAAACTCAGGCCTTACTGATGCTAGAGACTACCCCAACTCAGCAGTATCACTCGGTGTTGTCAACACGGCGAGTGCGATAGCTGAGCATGCACTGGCCCTTTAAAAACCAGGAGAACTTCCGGTCACTCTGGCCACTGGGCAGTAAAGGTCAAAAAGGTTACCATACCGGTCACTACTGAAGGGAGCAGTGCAGCATGGGATTGGAGTGGGAGGACTTTATGTAGCGATAGAGCTTTGGCAGTGTCCATGTGCATCCACACTGCCGTTGCACCAATACCAGCAGCCTGGGCTGGTGGTGCTCTGACAAGGGGAAGTCCCTGAGGTGGCAGACACAAGTGGGGACACACATCTGCCTCCCTCGTGACAAGGGGAATTCTACTGGTGCAACTGTCGTGTGTAAGCCAGGCTTTAGTGTAGCCAAGGCCACGCTGAGCCTTGCTCCTACTTGCAATCAAGGCAAAACCCAGCTTGCCTTTGTCTGCACACAGGGCTCAGTCCTGGGGCAGCTATGCGGGTGACTGAACCAGGGCAATACCTGAGTGTGGACAAGATTCGGCAACTTCCACTCCCCTTTTGGGGTGCAGCAGGGGGTTGGATGTGGCTAACAAAATAATAGGGAGGAAGAATAGGCCCCCCCAGCCTGATTTGTGACCTCCTAGGAGCTGCTGCGCTGGAAACTCGCAGGCCAGAGGGACCAGAGGGCGTTGAGAGGTGGGTGGGCTGCAGGGAGAGAGCTGCTGGTTGCTGCTTTTCCCCACAAGTTGTTGTGGTCCCATTCCCTGTCTCTCTGCTAAGTCTCCTCGTCATTCATCAGGACAAGCTGGTATTTTCCTGCACAGAAGAACCACTCTCTCCATCCACATGCCTTCAGGCACCCATTGGATGCTAGGAGAGGAAAGGAGTCGGGGAAGGGAGGGGACTGTACAGGGCTGAACTTTTCCAACCTGCCTCAGAGACTTGCGGGTGAGAGCGAAGGATCAGGTTTACACGTCTCGCCCCAGTGCTGTCCCCATCAGCCTGCGATCCAGAGAAGTGCCGCTTGCTGTCAGGAATAAATCCGTGCTGCAAAAAGCTCTTTGGCATGAGAAATGCCTTTTTGCAGAAGCACAAGGACTGGCTGCTGCTGCTGCTTAGGGAAGAGATGAGGGGGGAGAGAGACAGATGCTGCAACATGTTGCAAAGATTAACCTGTTCGTGAATCCAATGGAGGATCCAAGCAGGGAATACGCCGAGTAGGGCCCACCAGAGACACCCCACTGATCACTCACTGCCCGGCATGATGCTTGACAACTAACACTCCACCATCTTGTCTCCTCTCTTTAAACTGGCCCGGTAAGAACATTTTCCGAAGGTGGGGGGAAGACCCTGTAGGTAGGTCAGTACCGTTCGCTGCCTTTTACAGAGCCGGGTGGAAACGCAGCAGAAAGAATCCAAGGTCCAGTGTCCTTTAGCGAGCTCAGTGGGTGTGATGTCAACGGAATGAATTACACCACTTGTCCTAACTCCAGTGGAGTCAGTGCTGTGAGCTACGCCCTGTGTTCACCCAGGAGCGGTGCTGCACTGATTAACACTGGCTGTGGTATTGGGGCAGAGTGTCACAGGGCCCGCGTGTATCCCTGATTCCCAACACTGTGGTCTGGCATGATGCATTCTGGGTAGTTTTGCATGGTCTCGTGGGATACTTTGTGTGGGCCCAAGGGAATTGTGGGAGAAGAGGCTCAAAGTCCCATGGTTTCCTTACGCTTACGCTAGAACTCCGCAGTACTCCCCACCAGTGGAAGGACATGTTCGCCAATTGCTGTCTCTGATATACACCAGGGCCTCAAGGCCTGATTTTCCGAATCAGCACGTGCAGAAAATTGCACACACAATTTCCTACTTAATTTGCATGCCCTGTTCCTATGTCTGCAGGGGCAAACCCGGTAAGCCTGCAAGCCAATGATTATTTGCATTATGGTGGCACCCCGGGTGTGCTGGGTGTTTGCCAAACCCAAGAGCAGATACAGTCGCCGCCCCAAAGTAGGGGGCAGTCCAGAACCACAAAGGCAGACGGAAGGGCTATAACAGACAGGCAAAGTGATCAGGTGCATGGCTTATGATCTGGTACCATGGTGTTAATGGGAGTTGGGTGGGAAAAGGGAGCAGCATGACGGGAAGGAAGGAAGGGGAAAGCCAGTGTTCCTGCACCTGTTTAGGGCAGCGCCCTCTCACCTCCAGCCAAAATCCCGAATCCCTGCATCCCCTTGACATTTACTTTCTAAGGCAGAGTAAAACATGGCTCAGTGTTACCCCTGGAGACTTGGACTGTATGTGTGTTTTGAGGGGTGGACGGAGAATACTGCCCTGAAGGGCCGGGGTGTGTGGGGAGTAGGAGTGTGAGATTTGCTTTGCTTCGGACTGTAATCACATTTTAACGCTGAGGGTAATTAACCACCGGGACAGTTTACCAAGGGCCGTGGTGGATTCTCCATCACTGACCATGGTTACATCGAGAGTGGATGCTGCTTTGCTAAAAGCTCAGCTTTAGGAATTATTTGGGGGCGGGTCTTTGGCCTGTGCTAGACAGAAGGTCAGAGCAGTGGCGCTGGAACATTTTTCATAGTGGGGGTGCTGAAATCCAGCCCCCTTACCCTGTCGTGTCCCCTTCCCTCTCCCTCCCCCGAGCTGGGGCCAGGAGATGGGCTGTGTCTCCAGGACGTGGGGACCTGGACAGGGATAAAGGGGCCGAGGCTGGGGCCACAACTGGGGGTGGGCGCAGGACCAGCAGTGGAGCCTCGGGTGCGGGGCGGCAGCTGGGACCCCAAGCACAGGGCTGGCAGCGGAGCCCCGGGCACGGGAGCCCCAGGAGCACGGCTGGCAGATGGGACCCCATGTGGGGGGCCAGAAATGGAGCCCTGCATAAAACTTGGGGGTGCTGCAGCAACTCCTGCACCCATAGTTCCCACGCCTATGGGTCAGATGAGATCACAATGGCTCCGTCTGGCCTTAGAATCTATGAATCAACATCTCACGTTCCCCCCATCCCGGGACTGGTCTTTCAGGACACCACCACTCCCGCCCCGGAGGCAGAACCCACCAGTGGTCCAGTAGGGAGAACAGTAGCTTGGGGCTAAGGAGACATGGGCTTGATTTCCAGCTCAGCTACAAATGTCCTGTGTGATGGTGGGCAAGTGACTGAGCCCAAGCTGGGCCTCAGTTCCCCATCTGCAGCCAGGGGAAAGTCTATCCCTGCCTCCCAGGGCTACTGGGAGGGTAAAGATCCATTGCTGATTGGGAGAGGTTCTGCTACGCTGCTGATGGGGACCGTATAACTACCTAGGGGTGTTGGAGAATCCCTCCCTTGCTGGGCACAGATCCCTGCTCCTTCGCCCATTCCTGGACTTATGGAGATGGGGCTGTTCAGTCATAGGCTGATGGGGGCAAGGGGCGGACGGATGATGCTGCAGCAGGTGCTGGTGAGATCCTCTGTGCCAATGAGTTTGGTGCTTCGCTCTCACTCGGTGCCCTGGGCTTCTCCACCCCGGCCTTGTGAATGAGGCTAATCAGCTGATGAAGATGAACACAATGAAATCACTTATTCCCGCTGCATGGCCAACTCGGGTTGTTAGCGGCTTGCTTTTGCAGCCTTCCCCCCCCCCCCAATGAGGGCAGAGAAATTCCTCCTCCAGCCGGAGTGTCAGAGTTAGTTAAGCTTTCCTTCCAGAGTAGCAAAGCAAACAAGCCAGTTTCCATGACAACTCGGGCAAGGATCACTTCAGACAGCAAAACACGACAAAACTGCAACCTACAGAGCTTGGACATAGAAGGGACGAGTGAGAGAGAGAGAGAGTGGAATTCCTTCAGTGAGAGCAGGAGGGGAAAGCCCATCAGTGTTTGAGGATACTGTAGATTACAGAGTCTCATCTCTCTGATAAGTATCAGAGGGGTAGCAGTGTTAGTCTGAATCTGTGAAAAGCAACAGAGGGTCCTGTGGCACCTTTAAGACTAACAGAAGTTATGCTTATGCTCCCAATACTTCTGTTAGTCTCAAAGGTGCCACAGGACCCTCTGTTGCATCTCTCTGATAATAGTTTGTCCTCCTAGAGTGTGTGAAAGTGAAATGAATTATATTAAAGAAATAGAATGAATTAAAGAATGCTGTATGTACCTTTAAGTAGAA